CCCACGGCCCTCGTTTGCCTAGGGGGATGCCACGTGGCGCAGCGCCAAAGCCAGACTGACACGGAGCTCGCTGTGGCCCACGCCCTCCGCCAGCACCCCGCGCTGCTCCTGCCCAGCTGCCTGGGAGCCGCCTCCCCCAGGGGGTGCACAGAGCCTGGAAGACGCACCCACAGCATGTGCTGGTTTAGCTGCCTGTCCGGGGATGCAGCCCCCAGCCCTCTTCCCCGGGCCAGCTGGGGGACACAAGGCGCGTGTGCAGGTATGTGCTGTGCCAAACGCAGGCCAGCCCCCCACCAGAGGACACACCGACCAGCGTCCGGCCTGGGCCCCACCGGTAGGCACCGTCCACAGGCAGGTTCATTGCTAGGCGCGGCCTCTCCTGGCTGCGTGCCCAGCCCCACAACTAGCGTGGGAGGCGCCTGTACAGACACCGCCTGCCAACGCCCCCCTGCAGGCCTAGCTAGAGTGTCTCCCCCCAGCCCGCTGAGCGAGGGGCCCCGCCCCGCCCGCCGGGTACTCACCGCAAAGGGGCTGTAGGCGGCCGCAGCAGCCCCGCGGGCCCCCGCTGCGGAGGGCAGCATGGACAGCCCCGTCGAGAAGATCCCCAGCGCGCTGAGGTTCAGCCCCGGGATCAGGTTGGCTTGTTGCTAGAAAAGGAGAAACGCAGAGAACGTGAGACACGGGGGAAGGGGGGAGCCACCCGTGCCCGAGTGCCCAGTGACCCCTACACCCCCGCCCACCCGCTCAGGTCTCTCCTGGGAGGATGGCAGCAGCGGGGCGGGGGGAGGGGAGCTTACATTGACGGCCACAATGTCATTCTCATAGGCCTCTCGCAGCTTCTTCATGATCTCCACCTCGGCGCCGGAGCAGGCCTCGATGCTGCCCTTCACCGTGATGGTCCGCTCGGGGTTATAAATGGTTAGATCCTGTAAACTAAGCCGTGACCGGAAGGTGACGCAGCTGCCCTCCAGGCAACAGAGAAACAAGCCACCTTTGCCCTTCTGCTCGGAGCAGGCGAGCCCAAGAGCCAGGGTAGCCCGGTGCCACCCCGGCCCTGCCCAACATGGCTCACTTTACTGGCACCCAAGGGTGGGGCACCCCCACCTGCGCCCCTTTGGAAGAGCCCCATTCTGGTTTTGCACCTTCACCAGCACATGGTTTATTCTGTGTCGCTTGGGCTGGCCCCAGCGGCTCCCCCGGCGCTCGCCTCCCACAGCCTGAGAGCTCCAAGCAGCGCAGCGGGTCTCGGGGCTGGAGGCAGGTTGTCCGGCGCGAAGATACCGCCACTTACGGAGAGATGGTGATCTTGGTCCCTGTGTCTTGCTCAATTTTCTTCAGGTTTCGTCCCTCTTTGCCGATCAGTCTCCCGACCAGACTGTTGTGGGCTAAGATTTTCAAGGGAACCTCTTCGGCCCTAAAGGAAACAGAAGGGCTTTGATGGTTTTGTAAGTTTCTTTTCCCCTGGTCTCCTACCCCAGCATGCTCCAAACCGCAGAGGAACACACACAAAAAGAAAAGTAGGAGAAAAACTTCCTGTGGACTTTTTTCCACTGCAAAACCTGCATGTTTTAGAGTCCTTGTCACGCAAAGAATCTGAACTGAGTCCTCTCGGCACGGACAGAAAACCCAGACAAATAGCTCCTCCTTCAGCTAAACAGTGCGGGCCGGAGGGGAATCAAAATAACCCTGATCTAGCAATCCTGACTGTAACCGGGGTGGGTCAAAAATGGCTTGAGTTTCCCCAAGAGAAAATTCGAACCTCCCCTCCCCAATGTGTTTGGTTCCAAATACCGTAGAGGATTTTCCCTCCCCAATTACAGAAGCTGAATTGCTCAGATTTGTTTCAAATCATTGCCTGGAAAGTTTCTAAAGCACAGGAAACGGCCTGCCATTCCAGCAGAGAGAAAGGGAGAGAAAAAGTGAAGCATCCAAAACACTGGCCCTCGGGTATCAGCTCCAGCTTGTGGCTTTACACATGGGACGGTTTCCCTTTCTGTTTGCCCAAGCACGTTCTTGCAACTCAAACTGTACAGTGAGTAATCGTGCTGATTAAGCCTTTTAATACACAAACACATGAAACCAAATTCCCATTCCCAACGGCCGCATTTTCTCTGCTGGGCCTCTGGGGGCTTATTCTTCAAACCGGATTTGTACTTGCCCGCTGGGTCTTGCCCCAAGCGTGGCTGCGGGCGCCTCCTCCGGCGGAGAGCTGCGCGGGGCACACTTACGATTTAGTCTCGTCGGCTTCTTTCTGCATGATGTCGAGGATCATGCGGCACGCTTCGGAGCACCCTTCGGGCGTGGCGTGGATGGTGATGGGCTTCTCGGAGGCACCGGCATTCTCCTTCCGATGAATGTCCACCCTGCACCGAGAGAATCAGCACAGAGATCAGGCAGCCGTCGCAACAGGGCGCCTCGAAGAAAGCACATCGCTTTGCGTGACACTGCTTTTACCGGGCTGTCTGCGGAGGGGAGCCCTGAACCAGGAGTCCCGCTGCTGACTCCACCTCCGAACCGCCTCTCCTGCTGAGGCCAGAACTCAGCCAGTGGCTGTGCCGTCAGTCGGGCGGAACCATGGGAAACTCACCAGGTGCACTCACCACTCGCGACAGGTTTGTTTCAAGGCCTGTTACGCTTTTGGCAGGAAACTGGGCCTAGGGTTTGGAACGCCAGGTGGCTCAGGCTTGCGTGAGCCCACAGCGATTTCTACTCCAGTGTTTCTCAACCAGCGGTACGAGCACCCTTAGGGGTACTCGAGAGAAGTCGGGGGGGTACGTCAACACAGCCGAAATCTGGAGAAAACTGAATGTTTTAAGTTTGACAGCGCTTTATTATTTTTGTACTTTTTACACCCAAAAATTTCATCACCCGCCCGGCTACAATTAAGTTGTTTAAACGAATGTGTTGCAATGGTAGAAAAAAAAATGTCGTGTGTCTGAAAATTGTAGCTAAATGGGGTACTTATTGTTTTTTTGGAAAAAGGGGTACTTTATTAAAAAAAGGTTGAGAAACACTGTTCTATTCAACGCCGGGTTTCAAATAGCGGGGCCCTAAACTGGGTTCAACTCCGCTTAGGACTCTTTGGCTTTCGGATTTGGGGTTCGTTTGCGATTAGAGGCCAGATCAGAACAGAGCTGGTCCCTACGACTCAAGGGGAAGTGTCTCTGGTTCCGGCTGTTACTACGTGGGTCTTCTCGTCTGCTTCTTTAGGATCCGCCAGAACACGGCTGAGGTCGGGGGCCGGGCGAGCTGTCAGGGCCACAGCACCGCACAAGTGGCCTGGTAGAAACCAGACGGGTAGCATGTGCGTGAGATAGCTGACCTGGCTCTGTGTCTGTGTGTGTATTGCACGCTGTGATAGGAAGTATCTTGTATATTACAGCGGCAACGTTGCACGGGGGAGGAATTACACCAGGAGCGGGACTCGGCCTGTAGTTTCCAGTCCGTCTCGGTACTCTTGCAGACAGCCGGGCTTACACCTTCCCACGGCCGACTGATATGACAGGTGCAGCCCAGAGGCCAGTTAGCACAGCTGGCTTTCTCCAACGGCAGCCTGTCCTGGATGCTTTCGAAGGAGACCTTGTATCCCCCTACCACCTCAGCCATATGTGCATCTCTTGTCCGCTCAGAGCCCGGCTGGAAATCTGCTCCCACCAGCAGGCCGGACGGCGGCTTCCGGACACAGCCTGCATTTTGGGGCAGAGGGAGGCGTACCAGGGAGTGCAGGGGGGAGGCCCTGGAAGCATCTGGGCTGCTAGCCAGGTGCCAGGTGCATTTCTCCTGCCTCCCAACCCCACATTGGCCCCGCTGTGAGGGCCAGCCAATGGACTCTGGGGTGGTCCTCGTGCTGCCCACTCGGGCACGGCCATAGTTGTTGAGAACGGTAGCTAGGAGTGCTGCGACCACGGCAGAGTCCTGCTCGGAGGGCAGCCTGTGGAAAGCGCCACGCTCCCTCTCCTCCTACCCAGGGTCAATTTGCGATGGGGCTGCTATGAGGCATTTGGTTACTCTCTGACACCTAGGACGCTAGTCTCCTTCCGAACAGGCCTGAGTCTTTTCTAGAGCATGAGATCAATAATTTACTGTCACCCTGCAGCACTGAGTGCCACAGGTTAACCAGATCATTGTATATCGCATTAATGCTGAGTACCAGGTTGGCTCTGGGAGCAGCATCTTCTCTTATACCAGCCAGGCTGAAGCTATAGAGGTTACCAGTCCTCAGCATGCTTCACCGGCTGGGGTCAAGACTTTTTTGGGGGCCCAAGTAGGTATCTTATCAGGGTTTTGCACGTTTTCCTGACCCCGCTGTCAGCAGCAGGACACCTAGAGGAACTAAATGGATTGTGGATCAGTTCTGGGATGATAATTCTTGTGTCCTGCTAGGTCTTCGTGTGCGGGGTCAGGCGGCCGATGCTGGCGGATGCGCTTTGGGCTTAACACAAATAGCTTTGGGCAATAACAAACCGGAGAGGAAAAACTGTGAAGAAAATCAGAAGGTTACACACACGTTCAGCCTCGGGGAGGCAGATCTGGGAAACCTCCCAAGCGGCAGGTTCCTTAAACACAAGATGGGGAGGGGGCGCAGGGTTCGAGTCTGACACCACCTGGGAGCCGCACCGGACTAGCAGCTCGCCCGTTTCCAGGCACCGTACCCCGACACACAGCTCTCCTCCAAAGCCTCCATGGCTCACGCCAGGGAGCTCAGAACGTGCCCTGCAAGCACCTTCGCGCCACTCGGATCGACTTCCTGATCGGCGGGTTCCTTGCCAGAGCCCGGCATGGCGGGAGTGAGCCGACGCCGGCCTA